CGAGTAATGGCATGCCAGAATTAATGGATTGAGCGCAGAGCACAGTGCATTGCTCACGGCACACAGTGCTTTAGAATGGTTGTTGAGTTGCTGTTAGTGTACTGTGTGATAGCTCTAGAGCTAAGCCGAAGGTGATCATCGTTGTAGTATAACCCCCCCTGGGGCTTTAATTTTGATTAGATCAACTCAGAATCGGATCGGTTACTGTAGGGCTCGATGTTCTACAGTACCACCACGTGTACCCCCAAGTACAGGGGGCGCACGTGTACACGTGTACGCGCGGGACCGAAGAGCGCCCACACACGTGTACTGTCAGCCCCGATGGCTGACAGTATTACAGTGTCGACCGACCGCTACAGTACGTCGCTACAGTACATCGGTACTGTACTATTATGATAGGTCATTATGTACATTAAATAGGGCGCGGACCGGCGGCGGTGGAGGAGAAGAAGCACGGACTTGTCACCCACCGACTGTCAAGGTCCGTCTTCCAGCTTACTTAACCCGCGCGATCCGTCTTCGCGCGCGTTAAACGGGACAAAGCGGGTAGGGGACACACGCGTACGCGAGCGAGCCTAGATCCGCCTCCGCCCATCAGCGCTGGTACATTACCCAGCGCTGCTCCGGGGCGTCGAGGCCTGGATCGGCCCGCGCGTACGCTCGTCCCCGACCGTCTCGCTCTACCCCGATACCAGGGCCCGCTTCCCTGTCTCGTTAGCTGTGTGTTCTCCCTGTCTTCTCCCCCGAAGGGTCTACGTCGAGCTAAAGCATACACACCTCTACGTCAGGGGGGTGTCTATGCTACAATCATCCAGCCAGAAAAGCGTGGCACCAGGTATATATAAAAGGCGTCGGTTCACCGCAGCACACTTTTGTTCCATTTATGTGATAAGCACGTTGCGTCGTGGTGGCTTGTTAGTCCATCCCATCGTAGTGTACTCGACCCGTGCCCTTTTCTGTTTTGTGCAGCTCAAAGCTGACCAAACGTCCTTGTGGCGGTCAGCAGCAACACCCATCTGAAAAAAACTGCTGTTTTCGCGAGACGATACCGTGGTGACTGACTCACCGTATGAAGAGCAGAGTACGTGCTGCGCATTAACAGCCATAAACTCTGAGAGTTCAACCGCTGTTCTATTACGAGACACCAGCACCCGATTTATTGCTTCCCGGACCTTCTCGAGCACACTATACGGCAACGGAGCTTTGAATAGTTCCAGTCGACTCGGAACGAATGCATCGATAATCCCCAAATGAAGATTCTGACCATCATAATCTGCACCTCGCTCTTCTTCACAAACATTGCTGAGAACTGCATTGGCCTCCTTCAGAAAGAGTGCCGCCAGATTCTCATCGACATTATCCACAACTATTTCAACTTTCGCAATAGCAGATAAATACTCCCAGCCAGGAAGTCCTGCCCGCCTTTGTGTGCTCGACCTAGCGTCTTCGGTGTCACCAGAGACGTGTTGATTGGACGGAATGGGAACTGAATCATCATTATCTACAGTACATCCATGAGCCTCTAAAGGTTCTGCATCTTCCCCCATAAATATGCCGGACAAATAGTCTTTGATAAAATTTTGAGCTGCATTCACAGCCGAACTATCTCTCTGAACTGCTGAGGAGGTAGAATTTTGGATAGCAGCCAATTCTTCTTCGGTGATTCTGGCATCAGACGAAATGCTTTCATCATCAGAACATGACACTTCTTGCATATCGGCAAGTTCTTGTGGGAAAGAACGATTTCCTTCTTCAATTGACGGGCTTCGTGGAGCCTCATTCGCGTTTTGTAGCGGCTGGAGGGTGGGTGGAGTTTCAGGCACTTCAATATGAACAGAATCTAGAGTACTAAAATGGCCAGTTTGTTCCTGACCACCCATTGGGGGTTCCATATGACAGCTATTGCCAATGAAATTATTTCCATTTTCAGATTCTGATCGTTCCGCCTGATGAGACATTGCCCCGCAGACAGCATTAGCAACGTGTTCGTCTTCAGAGGAGGAGTGGTTGAAACCATGGTCACTTCCGAGAACAGGGTCAGCAGGGACTACAGCTTTCGATTGCTGATTAGTGCTGTAGGCGTTGTTTGACATATTGTTACTGGGGGAAACGTGATGGGGACGACAGAATAGGATGGAGACGACAGAATAGGATGGAGACAACGGAAGTTTGTAAATGGATGGATCGGGTGATTTTAGAGCGACAAAAGGTAGAAGGATTCTCGGGGGAGCGGCAGAACTTTAAGAGCTGGAAGGGGTGAGAAAGTGAGGTCACCTAGGTCTGAGTGTCCTTCAGTGATGATCGGAGAGAAAAAAGTGATATTTTGCAGTGATTCTGAGCGACATCACTCGTTTTGCGTGCACAGTAGTGATGATCACAACACTGTTGTGAATGTTCACTGCACTGTGGTGAATGTTCACATCACTGGAGTGATCACTCACTCAAATTCAAGTGATGAAATCACCAAAAAACATCACTTTTTCTACCTGCTGGTCACCATCCCTCACCATTTCTGAGTGATTGAAAAATCATCACTCTGGGAGCATAGGGATAGCGGCTTGAGAATCGCAGTTTACTGGGCGCGTCAACTGAGTGGAATCTTCTGCAGCGTACAAAAGAGGGAAATAGGTGATTTTGTCTTCAGGAAAGGTCTGTGTTCAGGAAGCGTCAGTGGGCGCGAAACGCAGCCTGATGCGCGCCACTACTTCGCTCATGGCGATGCTATCGGCATGAGACATGCATGCATGGGACGTATGCACGGGTTGACGATGAATAGGTAGGATACTGTACCCAGGGTACAAGATGGTACAGGATGGACATGGATACATGCCGTTTCGAAAGCAATGCAGGCCTGTTGCGTGGTGAAGGCCGCCAGCTGTTGAAGGTGGTGTGGAAACGAGCCAATTGCTGCGCAATGGCAGTGGCAATAGGTAGCTCAGGCACGTGCCTCAGGAGGCACGGTGCCCTTCTCTGGCCAGATCTTGAGATATATAGAGAGAGAGAGTACGGGCGCATACGTATCATGGTATGGTAAGGGAATGAGAGGCGTTCGTTGAAGAGATGGTGCGAGATGCACGGTTCTGTATCAAAAAAAAAAAACAAGCAAGTGCAACTCAATGACAGAAGAAAGTAGAGGATGGGTGCCAAGTATGTAACATGTTAGGCTACGGCGCGTCGCTCTCTCCTGTCTCGGCCGCCGGCTTCAACAAGAGCAACAAGGGCAAAAAAAGGCAACAGGCACTGTCGTTGTTGAATTATGTATACGTCAATAGTTTGTTTTTATGTTCCCCCAACCGCGGGGGGAAGAGATTCAGAACTGTTAGCGAAAAAACCTGACACTACTATATACACACACGAGGTTGCGACAGAGAAAAAATTAGACGAAACGTCGCAAGGGGCAGGTATCACCGATTCAAACCCGGGACGACCTGGGGCTGCTCCATATCCTCATCGTCCTTGATCCTAACAAAGCGTCCCTTCACGCGGGGCCGTGCATCGGCGAGCTTCTTGCGGCAGTCGTAGCGAATAAGTTTTCCAAACCTGCGCTCTCTGCGCTTTTGCCTAAACCTGACCAACGCAGCCTCCCTGGTCTTCTTCTTAAACTCGCGAATGAGCTCCTGCTTCTCGTGCTCGATACGATCCTTTCGCTCTGCCTAATTCTCGGGCTTGACGGCGCCCTGGGGGCGGTGTTGCATGTGCGCGGCATGGGCGGGCGGCATGACCATGCCTTGAGGGAAGCCCGGGTGCTGGGGACCGGCAAACATGACCATGCCTTGCGGGGCATACATGGGCCCGGGGGCGGAGGGCATCATCATCTGCGGGTGCTGACCGATCATGAACATGCCGTGCGGGTGCTGGTGGGGGTGCGACGGGAGGAAGAAGGGGTGCTGGACCGGGTGCTGGACGGGAGCAGCAGCAGAGGCGGCGGCGGCGGAAGCGGCGGCGGCGGGGTGCGGCGGGACAGTTCCTTGGTCCTTGGGGTCGGAGGAGGAGACGGTGAGTGGAGATTGTGGAGAGACCGGGGAGGAGTTGGAGGGGACCTTTGCGTCGCCGCTGTTTGGCGAGACGTGTCGTTGTTGGTGGTGTGCGGAGTGCGGAAGCGGGGAGGAGGATGTGGCGGGGGAGGCGAGGGAGGCGGGAGGCATGTGCTTGTCTTGGTGGGGGCGGTGGTGGTCGGCGGGGTCAGCTGCGGGGGAGACGTGTGTGGGCATGTTGAGAAACTCGCGCCGGACGGCCTCCTTAGCGGCGGCCTGGAGGTAGGGGCTCGAG